GAGGGGGGGGGGATTATTTCTGCGATGCGATCAAACCGATTGCCCCGAAGAAATGACTCTGTTCGACGAAACGAGAGCAGACGTTCGTGGAACGCAGGGGGAGAGTTACGCAGATAAAGTCCCGAGTGGAATGCGAACACCAGAGTGTTTAACCCTGTGCTTGTATTTTTTTTGTGTGCCTCACTTTTATGCGGCAACGACTCGATAATTATGGTGAATATAGGGAGAGTAATGTGGAGGCGATGAGGAGCAGGAGCAGGAGGGAGGAGAAATTATGGACGATGGGACACGCAATCGACAGAATTGTGTGGGCACGAAAATGCATATAGGGGATTGGATTAAAGGGGAGAGTACTCATGATCGTTATGAATAATGAGAGTACGTTCGTGTTTCCATCGGCGATAAATTAATTATTGATCAATTAAAATGTCTTAATTAAATTGTCACGAGTGTCTCTGATTTTTTTTTGTCGACTGGTAAAACGAAGTTCCCCTTTTTAATTGATTTTTGGTGTTGGAATTGTTGGAATTTCTTGGTCGAAAGGCAGGGTATACATTTTTTCCGATTCTGGCACGCATAGTCTGCCTAGTGTCCCTCGGGGCTCGTGTTGGCTCCAGTAGAATCGATTGCCCAGCGAAAAGTCACCCCCATGGGAAAACTTAACGATAACGCATCTCTCTTAGATTACAACTGTATGTACAACTTTATATACCCCTGTGTGCGTTATCATTTCACCCTTTTTTCAACTGGAGAAGTGAGACAAAATGTACGACCCGCGTTCAGGGTAACGAGGCTCGTCGTGTGCCGGCCCTGAAACTTTTATGGCGTCTAGCAGCAGGTGCTCACTTCCTTCACTCTCTCTTCTTCTGTTTTCGTTCGGTTATTTCTCTCAATCTCTCTCGTTCGCTTGCGTATAAGTAATCTTCGCAAAACGATCTCGATCGAACTGTAATGACGAAATGCGCACTCACAGAGAGTTTAATACAAGTGCAGAAATGAACACTCATCTTCTTACTCGTTTTTATCTTTGAGATACTTTTCAAGTTCTTATGACTCTTTTATTTGTCTCTAACTGACGAGGGAAGGACAATTTTTTCACTCCCTCGTAAATGTCAAATAGTTTTTCCAATGCATCATGATAAAATGGAAATTCTTATCACTTACGGCAACTGTTCATGAGGTAATAATCCAAGTTTTCTTCTGTAATTGAATCAGTCTGCCTCCAGTAATAAAAGTAAACAGTTTCTGTGTGGAATGAACAAAATGTATCAAGTCCCGAACAATGGAGAAATGATTAAATTATTTAATTTGGTGAAAGTCTTGTGCCCTTTGCAACCCAGAATAATAAAATTCTCCTAGAAAATTGATGAAACTAAGAGTATATCCCCCTAAATTGAATTTAATATAATTTTTGTTCTCCCCGCTTTCACGAAATATAAAGGAACACGAGTAACACGGACGCAGTAACGAAGCAAAGGGGTGTCTAATGTCGTTTTCTGTATAACGAGGTTAGTTGACTCGGCAACTAGTTAGGATAGAGTAAAGGATAGAGAAGCATGTCCTTTTTACTCCCCCCCCCCTCCCGCACACTCTTACTCACTTACTCCTTCTCACTGTCCAGCGTGTGTTACGTGATTCTCTATAGACACAGAGAGAATTAAGGAGGAATGGAATAGAGGATAGACAGAGATGGGTAGGAAGGGAGATGATAGCAACGTCTTGGTAATATCAGGTAATATCCAACTAACTCCTTGTGCCTTATCGTACTGTCTCGTTTCGGTGTCTCGATATAGGGCTTTTCTCTCTTGGGTCATGGGGAGTATTACGATAGGACACGGATGGATCTTGTCCTGACACCATTTACGATCTACGTACATTCTATGGATTAATGTTAAATCATTGGACACAATGATTAAACAAAAGCGAAGGAATATTTTTTCTCAGACATACTGTTATAAATTTTGGGTCCACTAAATCATTGAATTTACAGTAAAATGTAAAATTTCATGATTTTTCCCCCTATTTCATCAATTTAATCTCGGAAATGAAGATAACATGCAGTCTGACAAATTATCCGTTGTAATACCCCAAGATCTTCAAAATTATCGAATATTTCCCGAGTTTTATTGTGTTGCAACGTCGAGGGATGATTTGTCTGCAAAACTCATCCCGATCGCTGAAACGCAGGGAAACTTGAGGGAAATATCCCATGAATTTCGAAGGTCGAGGGGTATTCGGAGGAGAATTTCCTCAAAAATTTAATTTTTTGATGAATTTTTTTCCCCCTCTGCTTATTAGTTGTTAGCATTGCTAATGGTGACCGCATAATGGTCTAAGAAAGGAGATTTTTAAATAAATTTATCTGAGCAATTGAAAACTTTAAAAATGAGAATTTCCTTCCTCCTGGGTTCGACCAATCAGAGTGCAGTGGTCGAGGTCACGTGGCACTTTACACGAACATCTCATAGAAGTAAAAAAAAATGGTTAATCTTGTTATCGATTTCTCGTAAAGAGTTTTGGCCAAACCGACTCATTTTTAATAATTCTTTTTCTCAAATCAAATCAACACAACTTCCCACAATTTTTTTTCATGAATTGAAATATCAAAACCAGAAAGAACAATTGACAGGCAACTGTGGAATTATCATTTTGGTAATTCACTAGTAGCCTGGTGAATTATCAAAAAAAAAACCGACGTGAAAGTACCACGTGACCTCGAATACTGCGCTCTAATTGGGCGAACCGAGGAAGGAGGAAATTCGCGATGACATTTCATTAAAAGAATGTTTAGGTACTCAATTCTAGTCCGATATTCCGATATTCATTTTTAAATCATTCATGGATAAAACTATTCTTCCATTCATCTAATCATATTTATTTTTCATTCCCTCTCTATATTTATATCGAATCCCGAGTATCTTCATTTTCCCGTTTTCCACCAAGAAAATACAGCGTATACTTTACTTCCATTGTCCCCTCGTAATTCACTCCGGAATAAAAGTTTATGGTTTTCTGTTTGCTCGTGATCCACCCGACGTAAACATTACTATAGAAGAAAATAAACGAAAATACATCTAATGGGATGAACAGAATAAAAGAGTAGAAGATAAATCAGTAGTTATAGGTTGTACATCCATCCATATACAGGATAATACAGCCGAACGTAATAGTAGTTGCTTTATAAATTAATATTGCAATCACCACTGGAAAATTAATTCACGCCACCATTATCATTAATTTAGGTTTATACCGTACAGTAGTGAGAGGGACATTTATAGATGAGGCTAGAGAGGGTAGAAAGAACACGAGGAATCGGACCGACTAAAGTCCAGTGCGTCCCTGGCTTTATGATTGTTCTGTGATTAATTATTATTATTATTATTTGGATAGCCGAAATACTGGCCACCAAACGCGACACACAAATGTGTGACTATTCCACTCGGCTTATATTTCCCTTCATTATCGCCAGTATTATTATGCTCTTTCAATTATTCATATCACAAGACAGAGAGACAATGAGAAATATAATTTTTTTTAAATTTTCATATAATTGACGTTTCTGCGCTATTAAATTATTCAATAAGCAGAGGATAATTAAGCCCACATTTTACAAACTGATTTTCTCTCCATTTTGTTCTCTACACAATTACGCGTTTTTCATTCAGCTTACCTCGACCAGCGTAATAAGGATAATGAATAGCGGAGGTGGGCAACACGTGTAGTGATCCGCATAATATTTTCGGTCCCGTTCCTCGGTGAGGAATTCATCGCCGATCATGCGGACCATCCTGTGGACAGAGAAAAACGAACAAAAATTAATTAGTTTCAGCCACAATTAATTAACCTGCCCCGCTGCAATTCACTGAATAAAAGAGGGAGGGGGGAGAAAGTGGATTTATTTCAACCAGTCATGGGTTTTGCGTTCTATGGAAATGGCAAAAGCGGGGAGATACTGCTTCATTGTTACAGTTTCAAATGAAAGTATTCATTAAATATTCCATTAAACTGTTCAGAATAATTTTGAATTTATCTTTACCTCTTAAATCCCGAATAATCAATACCCATTGTACTGACAAAAAGAACGATCTAAACCGTGGAAATCCCTCGGAAAAAATTTAAAAAATACTAAACCACAGAAACTCTTTAACGAGCCCTCGTCACTCTCTTCCTCGCCTCAGTGAAATTAAATTAACAGAAAAAAGAGAGGGCGAGAAGACCTTTGAAAATTAATTAACGCCAGCGACGTAACGAGGTTGCATAGGAAATTGTGTCGAGCGTGTTAGTACACTCTTCATCCTCCTTTTATCGACAGGAAAACTTTTAATGTTGGCTTTTGCTCTAACCACATGCACTTTTCAATACAAGTCGTTTCAACTAGGAAAAACTTTGTGATTGTTGCCACAAGAAACGATAACTCAACTATTAAAATTCATAACCTAAAGCATAGAAAATTATAATTACAAAAAAATGAATGTCATTCAACTGAAATATGTAATTGATACCGGCGGATTCCTTTCCATACTAACAAAAGTATGTTAATCCAGCATTATTATTTTTATTCCAACTCAAAAAAGCACATCGCATTATATCCACTCGACTTGGCTTTTTATTTTTAAAAATCCTCCTTCATTATTTTTCATTCCGTTTCAATTCGATAGAAATGAGAGAAACCAGTGGTGGTGGGTAACACGACCGTAGGAACAATGGCAACAGGCCTGTCACTGGTTCTCCGGATGGCGAGTTGGTATAAGTGCGAAAAAGAGATAATAATTCCATTGTCTCCAACTTCCATGGCTACTTCATTTATACCCCTTTCCATATTTTAACTTAAAAACTATATCAATGATAAAATAGGGTTGGCAATTGTCTTCTCTCCCTTACACCAACCCTTTTTGTGCGATACGCGGGATCTATAGGGTATCCAGGAAGCCCCGAGACCACGCAGTGTAACTAACTTGTGAAGTCAACAATATCCACAGAGCTACGGCTAACCGCAAAGGACACTCTCGCCTATCGATCCAGTACCCTTCTCCCAACTTTTCGTACAAACTCTGTTGCCCCGCACGTTGCTATCCGAGTCGAAAAATTGGTCGTTTTGAGTCTTTCTCGTATCTTCAAAAGCGACGATTCCTTTTGTTCTCGGATTTTTTTTCCGGGTTTTCGGGAACGATTTTAGTTTTTCATGTTTTCACCACTTTATGGAAATTTTATTCTAGAGTTGGAAAATTTCGCTCATCAGTGACACTTGGAATTTTTTTTAATAATATTGAAATAAATATTACATTGACAACATTTTACTGAGAAAATCCATTATGACGTAGATATGATACATCTGTCATGAAATCGTCGATCTTAAAAAATTTGTAAATCATCCATTTTTTGGAAAGAAAAATCATTTTCAATGAAAAATCATTAAACGTGATACTAGCAAAACAAATTCCGTAAGTTTTTAATGATGCAGCCAAGATGTATCTTCAAATTGTTATCTCCAACACTCAGCCCGGAACCAGTAAACTCTAATGGTGAAGGAACCACCATAAAATGGTCCCTGGAAATGGAGGGGTACCTACCTCATTCTTTTTCGGGGGTTTTCCCTTTTTTTGTTGAAAAGAAGTAGGAGCGTGAGGATCGCAAGGGAGAGGGGGTTAGATACAATTCCCATGCAACTAACTATGGTATTTGAACGAAACTATAGTAAAGAAAAACTACCAGGAGGCTCACTATTCAGCTAACTACAGCACGGAGTGCTCCGTTGCTTTCTGTTATCATTTCGTTTTGTTTTTCTGAGTGTTTTATAAAATATCTACGATTGCATTGTCAAAAGATGAAAAAATATCCCTAGTGAGGCGTATGTTGCAAAAGGATTAGAATGAGAATGCTGAATTCGATCAACGTGAAAGGCACGGAAGTACTGCAAAACCTACGGCTTCAGAGTATCAAAATTGAGAGGTGAGTATCTGAGAATATCAATTAATAGTTTTTTAATTGATGTAATTAGTGAATTCTACAAATTCAAAGAGCTTCTACACGACTGATCGATAGTTATTGAACCTATCGATTTGCATTATTTATATAATTATTCATTACTCAGTTTTTCCTAAAGAACTATAAAAGTTAAATGGTGCGAATGGATAAAATACCAAAACTTCTGAATAAATCAAGAATGTATTGATTTGCTACTTGAAGACTCGTTCAAAATGTCGAAATTACAGCCTCTATAGTTCACCAGTTAATGAGGCTTCCATTTTTTGCATTCCCTATTGACTTTCATGAAAAATCAGATTTTTGTATCATCATCTGTGTCACTGTAGTAGTATTCGAATTTCAAAAATTCTTCTCACGGATTTTCCACATAGAAACTGATACAGAAAAACAGTTGGAATAGCTCTATGGATTTTAAACTAAAATTTTGCCAGACATTGATGCTAAGAATTGAGAAAGATTCTTAAATATTATTTTATTTTTACTTTTGATTTGGACTATTCATTCACTTTTGCCTTAAAAAACGTTACCATGAGACTAACTTTGGACCATGAGACGAAACTCACAATTGAGAAACGAAAATTGTATAATTAACACAACGACACAATTGAATTCAATCTGTCAGTTTGACGAGGGGTTAATTCGACTGCATGTTTTGTTTTTTATATAGCAACTACCAGAGAAAATTATCAAAAAATTATCAGTTGAAAACCCTGTAGCTTGTACCACGTGATGTCGAATGGGCCAATTATATTGCCCGATATTTGGGTTGGAAAAATAATCAGTTGAAAACCCTGTAGGTTGTACCACGTGACGTCGAATGGTGGAATTCTATTGGCTGAAATTTGGATGGGAAAAATTCTCACAGTTAAATGGATAAATCAAATATTTTTAATTCATATGTATAATTTATTTTTTATTAACAAATGCGCGCGGGACCCCTCCCCCTTCCCAGAACCACCGAGCACCGACCATAAAAATTAGACAAGGACAGACGTACTGACCGATATCCCCAAAAATGAAGACTATAGAGCGACCGAAGGACGATCGGTGTCGCTCCAAACGTCAATAAACAGGAATGATTTTTGTCTTTTCCAAATCTTCCTCGGTCTTCATGAGTCCAATAACTAGGGGAGGGTAGGGCAAAATGGACCGCAGGGCAAAACGGACCACTGGCAAAAAATTAGTATTTTTTTCCCTCAAATTAGGAACACTGAATGTGTTGAATTGAAAATGAGTTTCTTGGATCGTAACCGTCACAGGGGTTTTATAGACGAGTGTCGTTGAACCGCAATTTGATGAGATTTCCTAATCACCTCAAACCACAAATGACTTTGAATTTTTTGTTTTTGCTTCCTTTCCGAAACAAAAACAAAAATGACCAATTTTCTGTCGGTGGTCCGTTTTGCCCGCCTAGTCCGTTTTGGCCTACCCTCCCCTACAACATCGGAGCGATATTCGAACGACTCTTGTCGTCCTCATTTTTATGGCCATCAAGGATGAGACAACTGTGATCTTCCCCGTGTCTTCCGGTGTCGTTAACGATATATTGAAAAATTGGAGCGACTTTGAAGACGCAAGGAAGATTCGGAATGATCAATTTTTCTAATCGAGTATTGCTTCCGCTCGTGAGGAAACGGGAGGGAGACTCCACAGTAAACACACGGATCATATTTTAAGACATAAAAGGCAAAAACCCACACTCGTACTTCACTTTCACCACTGGATATTCATTAACTAGGGCTCTAAAAATAAATAATTTGTGAAATAAAAAAAAATAAGCTGTGAGATCCCGTTTCACGATTATGTCGTGTTCCCTCCCTGTGAAAACACGCGAATACACATCCAAGTTTTTGCCTTTGAAGCCATAAAAACGTAAAAAAAAAGTGGCAATTTTTTTTATTAATTTTAATTGACCCCGTTGCATTAATTTATCTCTTTATATTCTTTCCACTTCCCCATATTGGAACATAAATAACTAACAGATGACATTTTTGTCGTTTATTATTAGAGGAATTGGGAACAAACTCGCAGATTGCAATAGAGGTGGAAATTCATGTGTATTGTTTCAGAAAAGTTTCGAGGGCTAATTTATGGGTATGTTTAATAGTAGTTGATGAGATCTCGTGGAAAATCGTTTGAATACTGGATGAATATAAATTATGAAAATTCAGTACCATCTTCTTGTTGCAATCAATTTCTAATCATTGAATTAAATTTGAAAATCTCACCAATCTTGCAAATATAAAACCTCTAAAATATTTTTTATTTATTTTTTTATTTTTTCTATTTCATTGGTTTTATCGAAGTAATTCTCGATTTGAAACCCCTCCTCTAGCCTGCCTCCCCTCCTTTTCTTTTCCTCTCATTGTTATCTGCGGTATCATGGCCGTCTTACTCTTAGCTGTGCCCCATTCGAGCTAGGACTGCACGGGAAATCATGTAAAACCCCAGTCGCACAGCTGGCCGATTGTGCAGTGCCCTAATATATCGATCTGTCACACTGACTAGATGGAGACACTAGGCCGCCACACCGTACCTACCGCCCGCAATGTTTTGTGCGAACGAGGTGTTCCTAAGCGGTCACCCATCCAAGTATTAACCCAGCTCAATACTGCTTAGCTTGGATGTCCGCCGGAGCAACACCTCACCCACCAAACCATTACAGTCGGTACCTCTAAAATATTTGAATCATATTTTATCAAAAGACCATATGAAAATTATATTTATAGTTATTCATTAGTCAGCATACAAGATGAATATTGATCATGAGTATGATCAATGGCAATACTTGACATTCATTACGAGCTGACTTAATGCCGTTCAGTGATGCCGCGAGACGAGATGAAACGGGAAACTGCATCTTCTCGTCTCGTCTCGTATCGAAATACGAGAACAATTTCTTCTCTCGTCTCGTCGAGAATTGAGAGATTTTCTCGTCCTGTCTCGTCTCTAAAATCCAATTTGTATGGAAAAAAATACACAGCGGGGCAGACAGGGTGAGGCTCTCTCGACTCTCGTCTCGCCTCTCGTTTCTCTCGTTTTCGATCGGCTATTCTCGTCTCGTCTCGTCATGTCTCGTTTCTCTCACGTTTCGTGGCATCACTAATGACGTTAAAAAAACCCAATTATTTCTATTCAACAATCACCTCGAATCCTTTAATTTCACTCAAGCAAAGGAAGAAAAAATGCATATCCTTTGCCTTATCCTAATTGGAAAAAACGAACAAGCAACAGGAATTTTCGATAAGATTGTTCGATTTTTCAAGGACTCTCTTCAGAATTTAATTATTAATCATTGAATTTAATTCAATCTCACAAAACTTCTAGTTCCAAACTACTTGATATGTCTCAACTCAACTCCACTCAATCGATAAAAAAAAGAAAAAATTCACGAAAGCCTTTCAACAATAGTTAAATATTGTATGTTTCGTCTATGATGATCCGATATTTCATTACTAACCACTAAATTAAATTTTGAAAATTTCCAAATCCTCCAAATGACTCGTAATATCTTAAGAAAAATAAACAAAATTTGCAAAAGCCGTTCAGTAACAGAATAAAAATTGTATTTTCCTTTTAAAATATTCCGACATTTCACAGAGATTCTCTTTATCCACCGGGTTGAATTTACTATTAATGAAACTCCCTGAGATTGAAAAAAAAAGATAAGAGGGTGAAGATAACGAGGAAACGTCTGGAATAGCCAGGCCGTGATAACAGCAGATTCATTGTCATTTGTTCCATGGGTTATAACCGTACTATAAAATCCGACACTGCACATTTGAGGAGTGCAATTAGTGTATGGATTACGGAGGCGTGTGTTGGATACGGGGGATAGGGTTTGCGTGTAGTACAGGAGAAACGGAGAATAGGAGGGAGAGAAAATACAAGGGATCAGTATGATAGTAGTAGGGTAGGAGTGCGCGGTTCACCATACGGACCGTACATCATTGTCGAGGCTCGTATATACGATTTTGGCTGTTGCCCACCCACAGGTTAGCGCGCTTTCGTAGCTGTCGTTATGCCGGAGGAGTGTGAGTCAAACCACGCCACAGATTCCATACCCACTTTAACGATTCCAACTTCACAATACCCGTCGTACGTGGAATTTGCAAATCTACACAATGGTTTATCGTCATTAAATTAAATCCCAGAGGGTCAAGAGAAGCTTAGCAAGATCAATTGAACATTTATAGGAAATATTCGTCCCTCATTCAATCACTCCAATTGCCAAAATTAATTAAATCGATTAATTGATACTCCAAATAATGTTGAATTTAATGAGACCTTTCGATGATGTTGAACACTCAATTCCAACTGGCCTGCACATAATAGCTACAAGTACACTCAGAGAAACACGAAACGAGCATCGAAAGTACTATCGAGACGTTGTTGGGGCAAAGAGAGCAAGTGGCGGGGGGGATGCGCCCCGAGAGAACTCAATTCCAATTCCCTTCCTCCCATCTTTCAACTGCTCCATTCCCGCTTATACCCTCCGCCTTCAAGACTGGGCCCCAACCCCAGTCGCCTCGTTAGCGCCGGTAATTGTCACTTGTTAGGTGCCAACTTGACATCCTCCTCAGTACCTATTCTACAGTCCGTATCTCCTCATCCACCGGCTTGGCTTTGCACACCGCAGTCTATATACTTTTGAGTTTAAAACCACAGAGAGACGGTCCGACATGAATCAGCCGAGAGTCTACCAGCATGAAATTTTCCAACAAGTCAACGTAAATTGTGAATAAAATTGAGTGTATCAAGTTTACTGTTTAGTTAGTATTAATACAGAGGTAAATTTAGTTTTCAGCTGATGGAGGGATGGACAGAATCGAATTAACACTCAATTATTTTCATTAAAGACTTTGAAATTGTTTCGCAAATCATAATTCTCGAGTTGAGCGAGATTGGTTGGTTTCTAATATGATTACTCTAATCCCAGTGATGAATTCAGTCAATTAAAAGTGGAATTGGTCCAACATATGCTTTTAATGGGAAAGAAAATAAAATTTTGAGGACTGTTCAGCAGTAATTTTCAGATGAGTGTCAGTAAATTGGATTTAGAGGGCAAAATGATGAAAATTCAAATTGAATTAAAAATTCAATAGAATTCCAAATTTCCCTGGATTTCCAATTAATTAAGAAGTCAAGAATACATTCACCTGAATCTTCTTTATTTATATTGATTTTCGTTGAATAATTGAACTGCAATTACTAGTTTTGATTGATTTATGCATCCTATAATTGTAAATTTTCAAGCACGTAATTCATTGAAATTTCAGTGGAACTGTTATTTGATTAACATTTGCACGAAGAGTACCGAAAATTCCAGCCAAAAATTTTGAACAGTGTATATTGGGAATAAAATCCACGAACTCTAGTTCCCTCTTTTTATCTCTAATTTAATTCCCCGATAATGAAACAATGGTATCACATTATTTGATTATTCTAAAATTACTCATTGCTGTTATACCGACCGCAAAGGGAATAAAACTCAAAAATGTACCCTCAGAGTGCGCACACACAATATCATTTTGTAATGTAATAATTTAATTTATAATACATCAATCCTTTAATGGGCGAATTGAATTTTAAACATTTTAAGCATCAAAAGGGCTCAGTAAACTGAGAGATGGTGAAATAATTGAATAACCTCATTCGGCTATACAATTTCCCTTCGCTCTGTCCATTGTAATAAAATTAAAAATAAATTTGCATTACAAATATTGGGAAAAGTTTAAATACAATTTCTCCTCCCTGAAATTTTGTTGTTTCAGTACCGCAATAGGTGAGTACAATGGATCTCTGAAGAGTAAAAATATGGAAATTCGTGGAGGCGCGTCGAGGTACCACCGAGAGAAGCCACTTTTCCTCAGCTCCAGTGGTACAATCTCAATTCTCCATCCCCTTTCTTGATAAAGACTACTCCATACGACTCGGAGAGAAACTTTTTTCCCCCTTGGAAGATGAGTTTCGTATTTTTCTTCCACTGGGTACTCCATCTCTTTCAATATGCCGAAGGAGAAAATGTATTCGATATTATGGTATTGAAAACGAGCGAGATTAATCCCAGACACTCGTATTACGTTATTTGTGTATCGACGAGTTTTTAGAATTTCACTGTACCGCGGCCTTGACAGTAGATCGTCGATGGCTTGAGTAAAAGGAGGTAAAGAACCGGTGGAAGAGAGAACGGGGGGAAAAATATAATTCCTCTAGCGTCCGGAAATAAATACAAGTCTCGTCGGAGGACGTTGGCGATCAAGCGTAGCATTACAATCTGTAACGGTATACACGGATCGATGATGCGTCACCCCCACGGTGGCTATTCTCTCTTGTCTGTCTTTCTCGCTTGATTCGAAATTGTCTCATACATACGCGCCAGTGACATAGAAAATATAATCCCACGGACTCATTCCTGGTCACTTGTAACGGCCAAGGAATATTAACCAGAATGCTGGAGAGAATTATGGTGCGAGTGATTCCGTAATTTTGCAATTTCGCAGGAGAAGAGTGAAAAAAATATGCTATGCAAATATACAAGATTGAAATGCCTTGTTCACGAGGGTCGTTCTATAATCCTGCCAACAAACTGATAGAGTATACACAACGTTTCCTGGTACTCTGGAAATAGAGAGGAGTTTCACCGGCGTACACATCGCCCGCCGCCGTTGCACACACAGCGTCTCGACGGGAGAAAACAACAACACGTGCTTTTATGACAAAATCCGGTGTGCAAACATGGATTCGTAAACTATTTAGAGTTTGTGGCTATTTGAATTATTTTTAAAACAATCTGTGCTGTGTTCTGTGAAGTCCCACAATCACCAGGAAATACCGTTTTTATTTGATTCGTCTTCGACGAGACACAACTGTCAAAAGTATTTTCAGTGTTACTTCATCATTTTTCTTTCAATTTCATCCAATTGTATCCAATGGGTGTACGGAGATTTAATGAAGACTGTTTATTAACGTTTGACAGGTGATAAAATTCGATTTTCACCGATGGGAAAACATACATTGACATCGAACAACCGAAAAAATCACTCGCATTTTCGAATGAACCTGTCACTTCAATATTAAACTTTCCGTCAACTGTTTCATAAAATTTTAACAATGATAATATTTACATGATCGACGTGTGCTGGGGTCTGCTATGCTCCCCTCCATATGCAGGTGTTACAGTTGTGGTGATGGCACCGTTGCGAGTTAATCCTGGTGCCGGTCTCGCACTAGTCGCAATTGTTCTCGTCGATTGACCGCGGGTATCCTTGAGTATTTTTTTAGCGCTTAGTGGCGTTGTCACGCACATTATTGACGCCACCTTTTTCACAACTTCCCACACTTTATAATCGTTCCACCATCGGAGCTGATCCCCACACAATTGCGAATTTATCGCAAAAACGAATAAATAATAAGAACCAAAACACAAACACGATAACTCCTAGGTGAAACCAAAGTGATGATTGTTATTCTCCTGTTTATTTTTAATTCCAATGTCCGCCGAGTTGAGTGATGTTTTCATTTATTTATTTATTTATTCATTCACGGGTTATATAGGGCTTATAGAGGCACGGAGAGTGATGCCCGACATTCGAATTGCTGAATGTTTGCCGTGCGAGTGCGCGCGTGACGTTTATCGCACACGTCCCTTCTCGCAGGGCGCCACGGGCTTACTGAGTGACCGAGTGACTGACCGAGTGACTCCGTCCTGAGACGAGAGCAGCCACGAGCCTTCGGCGGGCGTGGGTGTACACGCGCTCACACGTGGTGGGGGAAGACTGGCGCTTTGGGATTGGACTGCGGCGGGGGTGAATGCGTCT